CAATTTCTTTAATTTTTATCGCAATACACTAATTTATGTTGTATTTGACGCGACACTCGAGTGGCTTTCTTCAACTTTTTCGCAGACTTTTTTTTTTTCTTCACGTAAACCCATTTCTTGTCTAGCCCCTTGTTCTATATCTTGACAGTCACGAAAGAGAATTGCGAGCCGCTCCAGTGGAATACATTCGGCTACAGTTCTGACGAAGGACACTCGTCTTGGCGTATATCAAGATAAAGACATTAAGACAAGTCCCAATTTATCTGTAAGCAAAAGACTGTAAGCAGATTGACCCATTAATTTGTACCGCGAGCGTCAATCCGCATTGAGATCGGCATCAGGTATCGGTTTAAAACTCGAAAGGAAACGTCGTTTCTAACGTGACGCAAGATACCCGGTCCAACGGAGTCAACGACAAAAACTGCAAAGGTAGCTATTAACGCCGCCAAATTGGAGACAAATAACCAATGACATGTCCTTGGAGGACCAAGTCCTTTGTCCTTTGTCCTTTAGACCGCCATAAATTGGCGCCAAGATAAATCGGTCCTTAGAGGCTCAAAAATGGTCTAAATGCAAAGAGATAGCCGGCAATCGCACGAGAACTGATGGAGGATAAAAGAGGACAGGCGCGGAGAGGTCGTGAAAATCGAAGCGATCGTGGGGAGTTTGGTGGTGGTGGTGGTGGTGGTGGTGGGGGCGATAGGGGAAGGAGGACGAGAGAGGTACGGCGGACCTTCCTCCTCTCAAGCCCCGTGAGGAGTTAGGGCCTGGAGCGCCGTGCTTTTCGCTCGATTTCAATCGGTCGCCTCCCTCATAACTTCCCTTAATGACTATAATAATTTTCACGATCCCGACGGGAACGGGATCACCGGAGGAATTTGTTCTAAACGATAAAATGAGAGGCATAAAAAAAGCGAATACCTACCTCGTAGACTCGACAGTTTACGAATGGGGTCGGATTGGCGCCGAAAACCACGTTAAGTCGCTCGGACGCGTAAAACTTCCGGGAGCTCTCGGGAAATATTTCCTTCGCCTCTTGACATTTCTTCATTTTCCGATAGATTTTCCGGAGGGTTGGTAGCGAATATTCGCGCAGCCACTCGGTGCCGTGAAGTTTCACCAATCGTAATTCCACGCGAAAAAGGGAATTAATGGAGTCTTACGAAAGTGCATGGGAATTCGAGAAGGAATCGCCTGTGGAAGAGAACGGTATCAGTGCTCGCAGTTCCGCCATCATTGTTATTACTGCTGCTGCTGCTGCTGCTGCTGCTGCTGCTGCTGCTGCTGCTTCCGTTTCCATCCTCTCATACATATTAAACTGCTAAAGAAATACACGAGTTCCCACAGCCGCGCACCGCCAGTGATCGATGCTCCGAGGCTCAATCTCCGCAAAATCTTCATTATCCGTTCTGAATTCGCAGCACGAGTCGATTTACGAAACATTGCGAGTCAACGAGTCAAATGAAACTACAGCGCCGCAAGGACTTGCGGTAGAGTGAAAAACAGCAGCAGTGCTTGCACGGGGTCAAAGCTCAGACTGTGCAGCTTACGTCGGGAAACTAGTCGAAGGACGCGAGCGAAGCGAATCTGGGGGATTTTTGATAATTCTAGGTAAGCTTGCAAGGCTTGAGCGCTTCTCATCAAGACTTGCATCGAGCTGAGCTCCCGGGAGGCGCTTCCTCGTAAGCGCGATTAGTCGAAGCTGCTTTACTAAAGTCGATGAATGTAGCTGGAGGAAGTCAGTCGCCTGCTGCCTCCTCCTGTGTTAGCTCGCATTGTGCTCCGAGACGACCAGCGCCCCGGAAGCCTCGAAGCCATGTTACCTTTGAGTGCGCGTATATGCATCAGTTTGTAAAAGTGAGAGAGAGAGAGAGAGAGAGAGAGAGAGAGAGAGAATGATGGTCTTCGGTTTACCTCAGCGTGACGCACAGTATATATTATGTTTGTGTATTTTCGCAAGGCAATGCAATTGCAGGCCGCATGCAGCTTCGTTATCAGAAGCCAAATGAGTTCCCCTAGGTAGTAGAAACTTCCTACTGCTAATCTCTATGTATACTCCCTGAATACTCGGCTCGAAGCTCCCCCTCCGAGCCTCCTAACTGTCTGTTTATTTATGCGAGTGAGCGCACCGCAAGAGAGTAATGAAATTACGATCTCTCCGGCATTCCCCGCTTCCCCGCTTCCCCGCTCCACTGTTGGACCATCCGCCCGATATATTATGTCCTCCCTGATGGAACCGTCAAGCGAATAAGCGAGTCGGCAAGCACACCGACCTACGGTCCACACCCGCCTACCTTTTTTCAAAGGCTATGCCACCGTTACAATGCTTCAGCCCTCCCGTCGACGTCCAATCAAGAGGAATTCCTTTTTGTGGCATTCGATATTCAAATCTTCTTTATTCATTCTATCAAATTGCCTGAGACAAAAAAGATAAGGACGGACGAATAGTAGGAATAGTGGAATAACCAACGAAAATACCTGGAAGGTCCAGGGAGTTACAGAGGAGTTGCCCCTCTCTCGTTTCCAAGAAAAAGAGCTCGGAGAGTCGGGAGTGCAGGCTGGACTCTGGCAAGGAGCGGGACATATCCTCTTGGGACGGTATTTATTCTACTTAGAAAGTGTTCTCCTCTTCTTCTCCCAGAGAGGCTGCTGACGTTTGATTTTAACCAAATGGACCATTTTAACCAAGTGGTTCATGCTCTTCCGGGTTTTCATCCTCCTGCCTCATGACGTCATGACTCTTTGGCACGGTAAGACTAACTAACACGGTCACTAAATAAATGAGGAGGCACAAAAGCAAACGCGTTCACAGTCCTGGGACTCTCGAAAGGAAATCTAACGAAAAATTACAATGACGGCGGAAGGAATACGAGGGATGAGAAGGAAAAGAGAGAGAGAGAGAGAGAGAGAGAGAGAGAGAGAGAGAGAGAGAGAGAGAGAGAGAGAGAAAGCACGTGGCGTAACCCCTTGAAGGGTCGGGGGGGGGCGCCTGCTAGGACAAGACTTAATGACAACTTTCCTTTTGAAACTATAATGGGGAATTTAGCATCGCCATTTTGAGGTAGTAATTCGTCCAAAGCGCCGACGGGAGCGACGAAGAACGAAAGACTCTCGCTATCGTAACTTTCTTTCTTTCTCCACTTCTTCGCATGATAGAAGGATGCATAAGAACCGCGTAGCAACTCGTGTCGTCAAAATAAGGCGAATTCTCAATGGAGCGAAGAATCTCGCTCGCTAAGCTTCAAGGGTCGCAGTAGGGATATAGGAATATCCCGAATGAATGCCAACCGAGACGAATAACGATCTTCAAGAATATTTTAAAGAAGAAAGAAGAACCGTTTTCGGACAATCGTTCCAGGATGGAAGCTGCACCACCAGACCAATTTGTCTCGATGGCTGCAGCGCTCGTGGCCAAGGTGGCCAGGGTGGCCCAGTTGGCCGCAACGGAGCAGCGTCCTGGGTGCACCGAGGAGTCACTCTGCAGGACATATTTTCCTGACATCCTCCGTCCCGAGCGTTTTCCACTTGCGAGAACATTCGAAATACATCACCGAGGAAAGCGATACTCACAATATGTATATGTACGGTATACATGGATACACCGCACAGGCATCTGCATTCCGCGAGATGATCGAGAAGCTGCTGCGGCACTGGGCTACTCATACTATCTATAGCGCGACTACGTCATAAGGACGATGTCACTTTAAAAGTTCGTTCACTCACGAGGCTGAAGCGATTCAAGGAAATTATTATTTTTTTTTTTTTTTGGGGGGAAACAGCGCGCAGATGCCAAGTGGAGCAGAAAGGATTCGCAGCTTCGGTTTGATAGGTTTTCTATGGGACATTGAAAACGGCTTTGGTCAACGCGCAATCAATAATCGGACTAGAGACTGGAGAATTGTATTGGCCCGAGCTGGGATTTCTGTCGGAGGTTCGACTTTAAGACTAAGAAATTAAAAATCTTTCTGGTCCATTCATCCTGAATAGAGGTGCAATCCCCTAGAGAAACTGCGCGACCCGCAGGTCCTTCGTCGCGTGGGTTATTCAGTGTGCAGTGCTCGGAGCTGCCACATCGCTGCCATCTGGATCACGAAGAACATTACATCGACATTACAGTCAGAGACGAATGTGACCTCCGCATTGCGTGACGCTTCAAATAAAACCGAAATCCTCGAGCTACTAACTTTACGTCTATGCTGGGTGAGAAGCGAAGGAAAAAAGCAAACGATAACGGTAGGAACAGAGGAAAAGGGTAAAGGAGCGAAATACGTATAGTATACGTACACGCGTATCGCTATTCTGCTGGAAACATTAAGAATTACGATATTTTCCCTGCGACGGGCGATTCGCACGCCAAAGAAATCTCACGTGCGACTCGAATATACAATAATGGGAAAAATGTATGCGCCGCCAGTCGATACTTCCTTCAGTCTGCCAGGCCTGCTTATATTTTGAGCCAGATAAAGGATACACCAGAAACACCCTTTGCCGTATTGATAAAACAACTAGAGACAAAAATAACATAACAAATAGAAATACGGTGACAAAGCTCAACAGATTTACCTCGCACTATTTGCAGGAAAAAAATATATTTAATTGTTCTTGTTTGGACTATTAATGGAAGATTAGTCAGCGGAGGGTCAAGGAGCAGCTGATAACGAAAATTCTATTCTACGAAAGAACAAGACTGTAGTTAAAACTTTTTGCAGCCGCTCGAAGGGAACGTTTTATGATGGCCAGGTGATATAATTTTCTCGGCAATGAAAATAAAGAATGCCTGAAGTTGAGGATCCTGTAGGAGCGAATGGAGGAACGCGCATCTCGAGTAATTATTGAGACCTAGATATATCTATGGAATAATAGAGTTCTGGTGGAAAGAAATTATTTGTCTCTTAAAGAAAACGGAAAATACTTTTGCCCCTCGTGAGGAGTGGTTCGTTTTAGTATTTTGTATTTCTTATGAAATCTCGTATTTGATAGGAGCTATCCTATGATTTCAGTGCAACGCAGCGGTGGGAGTGAAAGCCTTCTTCGACATGATGCACAGTGGACCGCACAAGGTGATGCTGTTCGGCGCAGCCTGCACTCAAGTCACGGACCCGATAGCAAAAGCTTCAAAACATTGGCGACTCACTCAGGTAAGCAGCGTCAATCAGTTTCTTGAGTAATCGAGCAACGTCTGGATCATCTCCCAAACCGAGCACATCGGTGAAAGGCATTCGAGTCGCTACGGCTGCTGCTTCGTAGGAATCACGTGGCTCCTTGATTCACTTTTTCTCCGAGAAGCTGTGAAATTCTGAGCCAACTAAAATTCAGATAGTCTTATCGATCTGTCGCCAGGCTTATGTACACATAGGTACCATATGCGGCTATGAATACCTACTCGTACTCACGTGTGCGCAAGCCGAGTCGAGTCGCGCAAGACTCGGGTGAAATTGAAGAAAACACTTGAGGATGTCTACGCACGTGGGCACTGAGGGCACTGAGGGCACTGAGGTTTGGCATGCGGCCTGTGCTACACAGTTCCATCTGGTGCTGAGTTGAGAGACACTGCTGTACCGCCTGTACGTATACTCGCAGTGTCCTGCCGTTTCGGTTAATCTGTACTCCGACGCATCGGAATTTCTTTAGAAATTCACGTCTCTCGGAATGTCTGCTGGAGAATATATAGGACAGGCCAGGAATTACGAAAAGAGACTCGGCAACGGGAAAGTCCCGAGCAAAAGGAGGAATAGTACCGAGATACGAATTTTATAGCAACTCGCGATGGAGCGAAATTCGCCTTATGTGTATTCAAACAGTTGATACAGCAGAGCATGAACAACGTTCGTAGCCAAAGTGCAGCCGGACATTACATTTGCATATAGATAGAATATCAACAGTGCACACTCGTATACAGTAGCTTATGTAGTAATCTAACTACCGCTCTACCTCCACTCCAGCGTGTTGTGTGCCTACGGCACGTACAATTGTACAATTGTAGATGCACCGAGTGACCATGAACAGTTTGCTGTGACAATTGAATAGCAGCTGGGTTGTGCCACCTAACGTACCCTGAGAAGGACCCTTTTATATTTACCAATTCTTTAGAATTAAATTGACAAACGACTTTCACGATGCTTTGGCCGAACTGCCATTATTGAAAGTGCAGTTTTAACGTCCGTCCGTTAACCTCCGAAAAGCCCTTTGACATGCTCCTGCAGGACGTTAACGATCCATGCGACTGGATTACCCGGGTATTCCAATACGATTGGAATGCTGGTGGACCGAAGCATCCACGACGCAGGATATTAAATGCCGAAGTGTTCAATTAGCGGAAGTTACCTGCGTTTCACGGGAGGTTGCGAGAATTAAGTCAACTGGGTCAATTGGGTTCAATTTGTGCCTCGGTAAGAAGTCCAAGTCGATCTGCACTTTCGTCCGGTCAGTTGGGCGGGTCACGAACTCGAGCGTCGAATTTAAAAAGATTTCAATAATTTGGAAGCCGTAACGCGCCGAGGTCGTGTTCCTCGTCCGTCCAAGAAGCAATTAAAGCAAAAGTGACAGCTAGAGGAAGGAGGAGACTGCAGCTTAATAATCCTCGAGTCTCTTTGCCCTTTTGGAGGAAAGTTCGATCGGCACTTGCGAGTTCCCGCAGGCAACAACAACGCGAAAGGCAATTGGTGCTCGAGTAGAACGGGCGATGCTCCAATGGTAGCGAGAGCACTCCCCGAGTCTTCTCCCGAATTAACCTGCAGTCTATCGTTCGGCAACGCAGAACGGAGGCTGCACGCGCTTCGTTAGTTTGATCCTCTGACGTCAGACACTTTGCCGTTGCACGAGATACAGAACGCGAATAGATGAGAGACTGAGGACCCGGACAGTACGTACCTTACGCCGGTCCCTGTGCCGGGGCCGTGAATTCGGAGAGACTAAACTTACCGAAGTCACCGAAGTCAGACTAAACTCCCCCCTGGTTTAATAAACGAGACCTGCAGCACCGGCCGTATTTCGTCATGTCAATCTAAGGCTATTTCTCGCAAAGAGCTTCGGAGGACGTAGCAACTACAGGACTCATAATTTAGGATTAAATAGTGAAAGCGCAAAGTGAATATAGTCGACTTGCCAAAAGTTACTTCTCACGTGAGCGCCAGCATAATTCGAGCTGCGCTTTCCTCGACGTCTTGCAGCCGCGGAGAGTTTAGTTTATCGGCCGGAATAGTTTAATGGAGACGAAGACAAGGGCGACGGTGAAGGGTGGTTCGTTTCTCACACAGCCGGAGCCATCTTGGCCAGAGGGCTTATCAAGGCTACCGTGTGGTTCACGAACTTCCCGTTACTTGAGTCACGAATTCCATAGAGTCCATACTATATTTGGAGTCAGGGTCACGCGGTAAGCCTGTAGGTCGACGGGTTAAACAACGCGAACCACAAAACCATTAAGTCAACCGCGATTTAATGATGGCGTGTGCTCGCTACCTCGAGTTTCCTCCACGTTCCCCGTGCTCCTGCCCCGTATTCCTGCCTCGCCCGCTGTCACCACTCATCTTGGTCGTGCTCTCGGCCAGCCAGCTATTTCGCATTATCCATATTAACGTAGCGCTATCTTGTACTAGCAGCCTGTAAACATCAACAGATATCAAATCGGCAGACACGACTCTCGTTCTGCCATTCCGACAGAATAGATTAGTGGCCGTTCATCCCCTTCGTCCCCTTCATCCCCTTCGCGTCTTGCAATCTATATGTTCTTTCGGCGGGAATAACTCTCTGTATCAGGCACCATCCAATGGGATGGAAGCTCATTATTTCCCAAAGCATCACGAGCAGGCGGTTACGTTGGCAACGAAGGTGCAGGAATGCGACATCTACTCTGGGATTTGCACTCGAATTCGGTAGGCTGGCTTATGGGACTTGCAATGCAAAACACGTTTCTGCAGCTCGGATGAGCAGGAATTGCGCGTTATCGTCTTGCCTGAAAGTTCGGCATTTTGTGCTTACGAGAGGATTCGAGAGGAAGACCGAATGAAAGTGCAGCCTGGCCGCAGATGAATCCAGATTATAGAGTCAGAGAATCCTCCGATTATCGCCGGTAGGACAGTTTTTAGCTAACGCGTCTTTTTCTTTTATCTCCTTCTCTCTCCTTCTTTCGAAACCGCATGAAAAGTGTACCTGCCCAAAGACGGATACGTCTTACTAAAAGTGACAGTCTTTTCCGGAAGTAGGATCGCGGGTTTCATCGAATGTCCCCGCACGTCGGCGGCGGCTGGATGAACGATTGGCAGTGCGCATGCGCGACTAATGCAAGAGTCGCTCATCCCGTGAGTGGCACATTAGCAGGATTACACGTGCGGCTGTACATGGGACGCGTGCATTTGCGAAGGTGCCTACACTATACTTTGGAAAAAAAAGGACTGAGAAAGAAAAGGAAAAGAAACAAAGATACTGGCTTCCGTTACACGCATTGCGCCGTAGGATCTTGGAGTTGCAGCCTGGGATCATCGGAGTATCTTCTACTTGGAGAGTTTCCTGGAAAAATCTACTAACTGGGATTATCGCCATGGAAAAAGAAAAAGGAAATGAAGAGGGAGAGCATATAGCGCAATAAAATATTTTGAAAAGAGCGTCCTAGAGCACGCAATAAAGATACCTAGATATTGATAGACGTAAGAAAGAATCTCGAGGATGAGTAATATCGAAGAGGAGCAAATGGCTGCAGGGTCAATTGTCCTGGAATTGTCCTGGAATTGTCCTGGAATCGTCCTGTGGCTCCTGACACTCTTCTCGCTGGAATCGAGGAAGAAGGAGGCAAAAGAAGCGAGGCCTGCAGCGCCATCTTCCGTAGCTCTCTTAATTCAGTCCCACGCGAGATACTAAAGCCAGCCATAAATCAGAATTGAATCCTGTAGTATCCGCAGCCTCCCTCTGGGCTCTGGGCGAATCTCGGAGCGAGAGGATACTTCATCATTGTTAGTGGTTCCTCCTCGCCCCTCCTTCGCTAAGGAGGAAGCGGAGTAGAAGAAATTAAAACTTTGTAACTCGAATAACCTAGACGACATCTATCATCATCCCGGATGCTGTTATTTCTCTCATCTACCTCCCTCCTTCCTTCCCTCTCTCTCTCTCTCTCTCTCTCTCTCTCTAAACTTCTCATTCAATAATTATAGACTAGTTTTATTAAAATTGATAATCAGCCCCATCAGAGCTGTTTATGAATTCCATCGGCGTGTATTTTCTTTGACTTGCGTCTTACTAATGGACGAATAATGGCGACACAAATTACAAAATCTTCGAAAGTCAATTGCGAGAGTTGACCTCGTGTTTCATCCGAATACCGAAATTCCATAAAGCATTGCAGAATGTCGATGGTTGTCGCTACCGCGCGTGTCCGCGCTCACTTGACGCTCCTCGCTTTCGTCTGGAACCGAGAAACGAGAGTCCAGATAAAATCGACTGCGCGCGCATCTACGGAGGCCGCGTGGCCGCGTGGCTGCGTGACTGCGTGAGTTTGCGTATCGCGTGTCGTGTATTTTCATAGAAAATTCCGGGCGACAGGCTGCACGGTCGTCGACTGCCGGTAGCCGCTGGCAGCGTTCTTACAAAGTACACAGAGGGAGGGCGACTGTGCGAGCGATATAATAACGTTGGGAAATTACGGAAGCGTGCGATAATAGTAATGAGAATTTTGTCGGGCGTAGTTAGCGTATTCTGATGACGAGTGGCGTTCGGCAAATATCATTGGTGCGAAGAAAAAGGAATTTTCAAGCGTGCTCGTAAGGACACAAAAAGATAAGAATACGATTGCGCACTCCTACGCATTTGCGCTAACGAGCAACTAGCAAACAGCAACCGGCGACCGGCTGTGACCACGGAAACAAGTATAGCCGGAAATATAGTCAGACACTACCGCGCAGCATGGGAACACTTTCCGAATGCATCACCAAAATCTCACACAAATATAAGTCAGATCTGTGCTATACTTCCGGTATCAGCTGAGTATAGCAAATTTATGGCTTTCAGGATGGCCGCTTACATAAATTTTTATGGTGAGTAGAAAAAAAAAGGAAAAAAGAAAAAGATCACTTACCCCAGGATCTTCGTCTGCCTTTCTCTTGTCCATTTGTATTGGTTATTGGTCCAGTACATCTTTCGACACTCGAGGTCCATTCTGGTGACGACTTGACGATTCCAGGCTTGGCCACTATTTTGCACTTCCTGTATTTTCGGTTGCGGACTAATTCTTCACTTGTTACAAATAGACCAATACGCGAATTTCCGCGAACTTTAGATAATGTCTTCGCGACGCACTTGCTCAAACGTATCGATTCACTACGTCACACTTTTTTTCGTAAACGAAGGTAAAAGATAAAGAGTATAGAAAGAGACGTTTCGCGACGCACTACGTCACACTTTTTTTCGTAAATGAAGGTAAAGGATTAAGAGTATAGAAAGAGATGGCACGAAATGGGCTGAAGGCCCGAGGCGAAGACTTGGCAAAAGTGATGCCCCCCTACGACAGGTTTGTCAATTACAACTCGTACAGGGTGCGTCAACGATGCTCTGGAGTGACGATGCAGGCTGATCGGTGCACGGCAATCGTTCGCATTTCAGGATACCGTTGACGCACCCTGTAATGCTCCTAAAGCGTACGTTTCATTAGTACAGCAGGGCTCTAAGTGCGTCCCTCTCGCACGCATACGGATTATTACACTTTTTCTACTACCTATAACTATACTACCTTTAACTTACAACTATACTACCTATAAATGTTTTGAAAAACTCACAAAAATGGTGCCTAGACCCTGTACCTGCTACGCACTAATATTGAATTTAAAAGAAAACTATGAAGGTACAAACGATGTAACGCAGTGGAGATATACTAGAGACTATACTCTTTCGAAGGGGACTGATTGGAAAGAGGTACAAACGATACTTTCTTGAAGAACTTCAAAAATTGGTGTCTGAGCGTTGTACGTGCTACGCACTTAACTAGAATTTCTATAGTTCCTGATAGGTTTTAACAACAGTTCTGCTATGTAACATCGTTAAAATAGGAATTTTCCAAAAATTGAGGTGCTACGTGGGTGTCAGCTCCAGCACTGCACTTTTTTAAAATCTCTTGAAAATGATTCAACAATAGGCTTTTTCAATAGCTCTCGAGGAGTTCTATAGTTCCAGATAGGTTTTAACAACAGTTCTGCTACGTAACATCGTTAAAATACCTATTAAGGATACTAGTCGCACCATATGCTTCAGTGCAGGTATGCATAAGAAGCTGGCTTTCAGTGTTGTTTTCAGGTTGTGTTCCAAACAGTTCCGGAATAATTCTTTTTAGTACTCAATGTTGGGACCATAGTTCTATTGGTGAATAAACTATTGGTGAATAATGATGAAAGCTAGCACCGCATCGCTGCACTCCTTAACACAGGCAGGCATAAGGTGCTGGCTTTTGTCTTAGTAAATCTTATCGAGCTTGCACTGTACATTTGAATTTAAGATTACAAAAAAAAAGATTTAAGCACTATCTGATAAGCGGCCTCTTTCTAAGGGTTGCTCTGGGAATCAGCTGTAAGTAGTGGAGAATCTCTGCCCGCCAGGCTACCCGTTCGTGATCACGTTCAGCTCGGCTACGACGGGATATACATTATCGACGGAGGCGATGATCACAAAATTCTATTTCCAGACTCGCGGCTACGATTTAGCGCCATGTTTTTGGTATCGCCTAAAACCGTAACGTTGTGCATCTCCCTACTGATCTCTGTGACCATAATCACGGATCGTAGAAGGTCGTCTGGGTCTATTTAAGTCTATGTCTCGGCGCCCTGCAAATGGAATCCATTGAGTGCCTCGGGCACAGCTCCTACCCCGACATGTCGACTAAAGCCGAAGTGGGTGCCGGGGGGGGGGGGGGGCACTT